ATTTGTCCAATGATATAGTGATAATATTTATTTGTCCAATGATATAATTTAGCTTCCCCGGCCGCCCTGCCAGGATCCGCACGATATGTGTGAAAGAGCCGCATGCGGCTCCCGAGCCACAGTTTGGCCACCCCTGGCCTAGAGCAGTGGTGGCGAACCTAAGGCACGGGGGCCAGAGGCGGCACTCAGAGCCCTCTCTGCGGGCACGCGTGCCATCACCCCAGCCAGGCCCAGACCATCATTAAAGTGTCGAATTCCCTGCCAAATAATTTTAAGAAAATGAAAGCATTTGGGATGGCTTTCCTTCCTTTGTTTGGATCATCTTAAGTTACTGTGTGAGTGGTTTTTTCTAAAGTAAAACCTCAGTATTCAGGTTAAATGGCCGAGTTGGCACTTTGCGATAAATAAGCGGGTTTTGGGTCGCAGTTTGGGCACTCGGGTCTCCAAAAGGTTCGCCATCACTGGCCTAGAGCATCCCCGACAAGTGTTTGTCCAGGCGCTGGTTTATTTCCTAAGATCCAGCCGGTACCTTCCCGCCCTTCATTTAAACCCATTATCGCGAGTCCTGTCCTCTGCAGCCAAGAGGAACAGCCCCCTAACTTCCCCGATACTTCAAGAGAGCAATCATGCCGCCCCCCCAGCCTCCTCTTCTCCAGATTGAACATTCCCAGATCCCTCAGCCTTTCCTCCTAGGGTCTGGTCTCCAGTCCCCCATTGTCCTCGTCGACCTCCTCTGCAACGCGCTCCATTCTGTCCATATCCTTGTTTTGAAATTTTTGACCACCCCCAAAATTGGTCCACTTGATATCATAGTTCCCTCTAAGCTGAGTCGGTGTGAGCCAGCTCACAGATTTTTAGCCTCCGGCTCACACCTTTTTGTCTTAGCTCAGGAAGGATGGCTCCAAAGCAAACTGATTTATGCAGCAGCCAAATCGCTCGCTCACAACTTTAATGCCAGTAGCTCACAAAGTAGAATTTTTGCTCACAAGACTCCACAGCTTAGAGGGAACATTGCTTGATATTATTGTGATATGGGAGATTTGGGGGGGGCTGTACCCCTCCCCCTCTTGATGGCTTCCCACGCTACGCCCCATCTCTGTATCATATCTTTTTGGCTCCTAGGGAGGGGGATTATCGTCATTTACACCCCGCCCCCATCCTGGGGGGGGGTCAAGGCGAGGGCACATTGCATTATTGAAATGGAGTAATGTTCCAGCTCTTATGAAAATACCCAGGGCTTTGCAGAAACAAATTTGCTAGTGTCCATCTCCCCCCCCCCCCCCCGCTGCCTTGCATGCATTACTGAGAACGAACCAGGAGGGAAAAGAGAAATAAAAAAAGGAATCGCTTGATAGCCAGAGTATTTGTTAAGTGTATTTTAACTTAGAAAAAAAAATTAAAAGCAAAAAAACAAATACTTGCAACGTATTATGGACGGCCCAGGCTTGCCTGGTCCGGATAGATCTCAGATGGGAGGGAAAGGTAAAGGTTTCCTTGCTCGAAAGCCAGTCGAGTCCAGCTCTAGGGTTGCGGTGCTCATCTCCGTTTCAAAGCCGAAGAGCCAGCGCTGTCCAAAGACGTTTCCGTGGTCATGTTTGCCGGCATGACTAAACACCGAGGTGCACGGAACGCTGTTAGCTGCCCACCGAAGTGGTACCTATTGATCTACTTGCAATGTCTTGCTTTCGAACTGCTAGGTTGGCAGGAGCTGGAACTAGAGACGGGAGCTCACTCTGTCATGTGGCACACTCGGGTCTCGAACTGCTGAACTACCGACCTTCCACGGCCTGCAGTTCAGCGTCTTAACCACTTGAGCCACCGCAGCTCCTTCAGATGGGAGACCACCAAGGAATTCCAGGGTTGCTATGCAGAGGCAGGCAATGGCCAACCACCTCTGAATGCCTCTTGGTATTTTTGGCCACTGTGTGGCAGAGTGTTGGACTAGATGGGCCCCTGGCCTGATCCAACATTTGGCTTCTCTTATGTTCTTATGAAAACCCAAGGGGTCGCGGGTCGCCGTGGCTCAGATGTAACTTGACGGCAACCACAACAACAATAAGGCTGCATGGTATAAAATGTTTTCCCAAACTTGCTTGGGTAAATGACTGGGACTTGTATCGCCAGTAAGATCCCTTTATGTGATTTCTGGGCCACTTAATGTGTCCTGTTGATACTTATGTGAGACTTCTGTAACTTCCTGGGGGTTCCGGACTTCTAATACCCTCATGTCTTGGTTAATGAATGTCCCATTTGGTGGATTGTACTGACTGGCGACGACACATAGTTCGCCTCGAGTGAATGTGAGAACGGCAGACGACAAATAAAGTCAATAAATTTAAATCGTACACATGTGCTCCTGAAACCATGTGGCAAAGGATGCCTAGAGGCACAAAGGACCTCAAGGAGGGGTCCCCCCCCCCAAGGCTGGGAGGTACACAGGGATTAAAGTCCCCAGCTGGCTTCACCCCCCCCCCCCAACACCTTGCGTGGACAAATTCGAGGGTGAAGCCGAACCAAGGCTTTAACCCCTCTCCGCCCCATCTCAAATAACAGAATCCCCCCCCCCCCAATGCGAATTAAGTTTTGGAAAAGCAGATTCTCCCGTCTGACATAGCGACTAAAAAACTATCCCCGCCCCCTTTCCCTCCACAACCCCTTCCACTCCCCACCCCCCAAATCCAGACAGGGCCACCGATGTTGCTAAGAGGGTCCTCAAAGCTCGCCGGTCACTGCAATCTTTATTTTAAAAACTGGGGATAGGGGAGCAAGGTCTAAAAACTTTGCACACAAAGCAAAGTTGGAGGGCGGGTCGGATGGGGTGGGGGTTTCAGGATTGCGCAATAGCAAAAAAAAAAGTTTGCAATCTTCGCACGCACGCACACACAAAGGAACCCGGCAGATGCTTAACTTGCAGGTCACTCATAGTAAAAAGCACATTATGCGCCCCCTGACCATAATTCTCTTCAAATTCGGTGTCACTAAGAGGGAAACTATCTCATAAAAGCAGCTGCTGCCTCAGGCGTCACCCCCCCCCAAGCCTGCATTTCTCTCCTGAATTGCAAGAGAATGCACACACAGAGAGGTGTTTTTCGGGGCGGGGTGCACATGTGAATGCGCCTGGGTTCCCATGGGCAGCGTCAGAGGTCCTTCCCACATGCCAAAGCTCTGCTTATCCTCCACACGCTCCACAGCCACACGGAGAATCCACGCCAGGCCTCCCATTCAGAGAACGCACGCCGAGGACAAGGGCACACACAACACAACCCGTGCACCAGCACGTTCTCTTCCTCCCAGTGCGTCCCCTGGTTCATTTCATACTCCTGTGAATGGGGACTTCTAGTTGCAACCCTGTCAGAGAGAGGCCTGTACACACAGACACAGAAAACGCCAGGAACTCTTCCACGCACGATTCCCAAACCAGAACTCCACATTGCTGGGGGGGGGGTTGATCCTGTTGCCCAAAGAGACCCCCCTCCCCCCGCAGAAAGCAACAACCCCCGTGTAAATACTTTCTACAGGGCCGCCAGACCCAAGTGACAGGACACAAAATACGGATGCAGGCAAGCAGCGAGCTTTCGGAACCAAGTCGGTTCACTTGACACCGTGCAAGTCTGGGCAGCCGCCTACGCACTGCCGGTCCACTCCACACAGGGCTGCGCCCAGTGCCCCAAAGCATTTAGCGGCGGCCTGCACCATCATGCACGAGGCTTCCAAAACAATCGAGTCACAAGCCAAAAGAAAAATCTCTCTCTCTCTCTTCCTCTCTTTTTTTGGAAGATGGGTACAGAGCAACAGAAATGACAAAGAAGCCAAGGGAGAGGGATATTCAAATACACTTCTCCTGGGCTCCCAAAATTGTCCCCTTAACTCAGGGGAAGGGTCCCGAAAGACACCCGTGGTGCCCGTGAAAGTGGTGTGTGGACTCCTCTTGGGGGGGGAGCACTATCCAGGCCGCAAAGATCTTCCAAAAATCTCTCTTTTAACAGCTTCCTCTGTTGCTAACTTTTTTTAAAAAAAAATAAACAAGCAGTTTGTTGAACTTTTTTTGAGGGGTGTGTGCGTGGGGGGGGAGAGCAGAAATTATGGAATACAGGAGGAGAAAACGAAGATCTGGGATCAAAGGGGCAATCAGGAGGACATCAAAGTCGCCTGACGCACACACATACACACACCCCTCCCCACCCCACCCAGGGAACTGGGGAGCGTGTGGCTGGGTGGGGGAGAAACATGTTTTTAAAATTTTCTTGTCTGTAAAATGGGACAGATCCAGACTCTCCAAGATACCCTCACTCCTATCTTGGCACACTGGAATAATATATATATATATTTTTAAAGTTTGTAACCGAGTTTGTGTAAAGTTGAAGGGGGGGGGGTAGATCTGAGCCACCATTAAAAAAACCCCACTTGGGATTTCACACACACCCCACTCCAAGTGCAAAGAAATCACCCACACGCAATACACACGACGTGTCCTCCTCTTCCCAAATACAATAAACTCCACGAGGCACGAAAGTGTGTGTGTGGGGGGGAGAATGGGGGGGTCTCTTCTCCTCTCTTGCTGGGCCATCCCACTCCCCCAAGCCGAAGTTTACAACAGTTCTAGACGGAGTAGTAAGAAAGTCCTTCCGAACCCCCCAACTCATAAACAGCATGGGGGGAAGCAAGGAGGGAAGCCCCCTCCAGTGACTCCATGAAGTTTAATACGACTTCCGGGGGTGGAGGAGAGAAAATGAGAAAGAAAGGGCGACAATGGACCGGGGTGCAGGAATCCCCCCCTTTAAAAAAAACTTGAAAAATATGGAGGCTAGGCTTGGAGACGGAAAGGGGGGGGGGCAAGGAAAGAGTAGCTCCGGATCCCCCCCCCCCCCGATTACCCAGAGCGGGGGGGAGATCCCCCCAGAAAGAAATTAGTTCCGTGAAGGGAGTTTTTTTAATTAAAAAAAAAACAGAATTCCCCCCCAAAATTAGAAAGTGGGAGCCCCTCCCCTAGAACGACTTACCTGCTCAGCGTCGTGGATGGAGGGGTGGGGGGTGGGGAGGACATCCAACGAAAGCTGAAACCAGCAGCTGGAACGATCCGGGGCGCAGCCGGGGGTGGGGGGTAAGCCCGCAGCGCCCCGGTTCCCCCTTTCCTGCCTCTCCTATTGTTCTCCCGGCGGCAGCCGAGGCGGCGGCGGCGGCTTCCCAACGTAGCGAACGGAAATGGCCACAAAATGTAGCCAGAGAAGAAGGAAAAAAAGAAAAGAAAAAAAAGGGAGCGAGCGGGCGAGAATCAAAAGGCCCCAACGTTCGATCCGGCGCCCCCGATCAAAGGCTCCTCAACGTTCCATCCGCTCTGAAAGTAAAAGTCCTTTCCCTGCGCTGGGCCTCCAGTTAGCGCCGACTTCGGCGGCTCATAATGTCTTTTTTCCCCCTCCTTCCCCCTCCCTCGGTTCCACACATACACATAACACACACGGATCGTAGCCTTGCTTCGGGCCCCCCCTCCGCCGCCTCCTCCTCCTCCTTCTCCACCTCCTTCCCTATCCCCCCCCTGCCGTATCCTTCCGCCGCAGCAGCCTCCACAAGGGCAGCTGCACAAGCAAAAAAAAGGGGTGAAAGGAAGAGTAGGGCTGTCCACAAGGCTCCGTTCTCCCTCTCCCCTTCCAAATAAAAAAAATACTTGGGAAGGGAGGGGTCTGGCAGTTTTCCTTCAATGCCAAGGATCTGGGCAAGAGAAGCAAAGGCAATTCCCACCAGCAGCTAATTGGAAATATTTGGGATGGAGTTTTGGAAGAGAAAGGAACAAGTGGTGTGAGTTCAGAGCGGCCCTCCCTGCAGAATTTCAAATGAGCGCCTCCCTCCCAGCCTTCAAACACACGCTGGCAAGACATGTCTTGGTTCTAACCCAAGGTCTTGAGCGTCCCTCGTAACCCGCGAAAGACCCCGCGAATGCACAGGCGCCCCCCTCCTGGCATCCCCACAAAGAGGTTTAACCCCGATGTCTGCCTACCGTGGTCCAGCCAAGACCACCACATCCCATAATTCCTCCCCCAAAAGTCCGCAGAGAAAAGGTGAACCCTTGAAGAACAGGCAGGGCAAATTAACCAGCCTTACCGGACATCCCAAAGAGAACCCCGGAGCTGTCTCCTCAACAGAAGCCGAGGCCCTATAGAGACCCTATGCTCCCTCTAAGCTATGGAGTCTTGGGAGCAAAAATTCTACTTTGTGAGCTACTGGCATTAAAATTGTGAGCAACTGATTTGGCTCCTGCATAAATTAGTGTGCTCTGGAGCCATCCTTCCTGAGCGAAGACAGAAATGTGTGAGCTGGAGGCTAAAAAAACCCTGTGAGCTAACTCACACTAACTCAGCTTAGAGGGAACACTGCTATAGAGGGGATGGCCCTAATTTCCCCACCACAGAACCCCCTCAAAAAGCTGACTGGACTTGTTTACTGGCTCGACTGCCCTGCCCTGTCACAGTTCTGCCATCCCATACACGCCCTACACCTTTGGGGTGGCGGTACCGCCCATGTACGTGGCTCCGCCTCTCCATAGTTATAAAACTCTACCAACGCTATTAATATTTTGCCAAAAAAAATCTCGACCATCCTTTGGAGCTTTGTAGGGCCCTGAGGCCCAGAAACCCTAGAGAGTGCTGAAATGGACCTTCGTGGACACGTCCCACATAAGAGCGGCCTGCTCAAACACACGCTCTACCCCCATGCGCTTGCATGCGTGTGTGTAAAATGTGGTCCAGTTGCAGGGCAGTTACGGTGACCCCACAGGGTTTTCGAGGCAAGTGGTCCTGCAGAGATTCTTTTGCCAGTCCTTGTCTCTGTAGAGTCTTCCTTGGTGGTCTCCCATCCAAGTACCCACCACCTCCGAGATCTGACCACATCCCCACCCTATACACATGCCCCATAGTGACATATCTGCCCCAGGCCCGCCCACACAATAAAGGACAAACATTCTCAAGGCCAAATAACCCCATGACCACCAATTCTCCTTCTCAGGCTGAGCCCCACATCTCCTAAACTAGACCTCTCTGGCATCCACTGAAGCCACAGTCCACAGAATTGCACCCCACTGCACATGGGTGTCTCCAAGCTAGCCTGGAGTGGCAGCACATGGCGCATGAGAGCCATCACAGGTCAATTCCTCTACAGAGCCTGGGTCCCCATCGGTATTCCCTCTAAGCTGAGTTAGTGTGAGCTAGCTCACAGTTTTTTTAGCCTCCAGTTGACACATTTTTTTTGTCTTTGCTCAGGAAGGATGGCTCCAGAGCAAACTAATTGACAAGGTAGCCAAATTGCTCGCCCACAACTTTAACGCCTGTAGCTCACCAAGTAGAATTTTTGCTCACAAGACTCCACAGCTTAGAGGGAGCATTGAATGATGCGCAACTGGGTTACCCCACCGTTCCCATCCCACATGCTCCTAAAAGAGAATATGCCCTGCAGGATCAGAGCAAGAGAGAAGCAACCCCCCCCCCCCCCCCCCCCCCAAAATCTACAAGCAGGGGAGAAAAGACAACCCCCTCCTCGATCCTTTTTTTTAAACTTGCATTTGGTAATCCGAAGACGCAGGTTTAACAACCCACGATAGACTGCTCCTACACATGGAGGTTCTTAATTAGATGACATACCTCTATGAATCCGTAGAGTCCGGTTTTTAAAAAATTATATTTTTAAACTTTTAGCTTTAAAATCAGCGATACTGGCTACTATCATATATTTTAGCCCTTGAGTGTTCTCCGGATATTTGATTTGCACTCCCCCCCCCCGAACGTCTTGTAATTCGCAGAGAGCGCAGGATATAATTTTTATAAAAATCTTGCAGCAGTGAGTTTCGCGCGCTGTTTGCTTCGCCGGCAGGAGCCGCGACGACTGTTAATTACAACAAACCCAGCCATGCTTTAATTTAAAGCAAAATCACAAAAAAAGAAAACCCATAGGGGGAGGAGACTCGATGGCTTTTAAAAAGGGCATGGGGGCGTGGCCTCGCAGAAGTGTGCGGAGCTTGGGAGGAGCCACGCGAAGGGATGGAATACGAGGCACTATGTTTCCTGGCGGAGGGACATTCTTTAGGTCGACGGAGAGGAAACGACGGCAGCAGCAGCAGCAGCAGCACAGCAGCAGAGTGACGAAATGGGAGCACCGAAGAGATGGAATGATAAGGCCGCGGGGCAGCATCCAACGAGAGGGCGCGGCGGCCTGGAGTAGCACGCGAGCGGGCCAATGGGAGCTATCCCTCTTTTCCGTCGTCGCCCCTCCCTCCTGACTGTCTGCCTAACCCTGCGAGCCCTTCTTCGCCCACTGAGCAAAAGGGGGAGGCCCCGCAAGCAGCTGCTGTTGCTGTTTGGTTTGTCGTCTCCCGCCCGCGTGGCTATTCTGCGGGTGAAGAAGATCTCTTGTTTAGCACTTTGGCTAGTAAGAAAAAATTAATTGCGGGGGAGGGGAAAGATTTATACATTAAAAAAGAAAAGAATGCGAGATATAAATTATCGTTTATTGTTACGAGATTGTATATAAATATATTTTATAAAATTTATGATATGCTTTCATTTCCATTGTGTGTAGTAAATATATTTTGAAATATATCTTTGTGAACATCTAAGGATTTATAAATAGTAATGAAATGAATACAATGTATCCGTATGTTCCTTCTAAGCTCCTCGGTGTTGTGAGCAGAAATTCTTGAGCGAAAAAATTCGTGAGCGAAAAAAGCTAGCAGAGTTAAAGTTGTGAGTGAGTCGACATTGGACTATTGGATACATTAGTTTTTTTAGATTATTTCCATGGCCTTGTAAAAATCTCAGAATAAATGATTTTAAATCAAGTCAGATTTCACCCACCCCTTTCCACTATATTGGAGAACAGGTCTACCTCTCCCTTTCCCACTATATTGGTAGACCTAGCCTCTGGAGGTCTACTCACCCATTTCCACTATATTGGTAGACCTGGCTTCTGCAGAACAGGTCTCACCCCTATTGGTACACCTGGCCTTGGACCCTCACCTTGTGCTGAGCCTTAGAAAACATACCAGTGCATGGGGGGGGGGGGATCTTGCAGTCTACTTTCTTGTTTTTTATAGTGAAATATGACAACCAGCATTATACAGGCTGTGGAAGGTCAGTAGTTCAGCAGTTCGAGACCTGGGTGTGCCACATGATGGAGTGAGCTCCCATCTCTAGTTCCAGCTCCTGCCAACCTAGCAGTTCGAAAGCAAGAAATTGCAAATAGATAAATAGGTACCACTTCGGTGGGAAGGTAACAGCGTTCCGTGCGCCTTGGTGTTTAGTCATGCCGGCCACATGACCACGGAAACGTCTTCGGACAGCGCTGGCTCTTCGGCTTTGAAACGGAGATGAGCACCGCAACCCTAGAGTTGGACTTGACTGGCTTTCAAGCAAGGGAACCTTTACCTCTTTACAACAGAGGAGGAACATTCACTGTCAGAACCCTGCCTAACCTAACAAACAGAAAGTTGCTTAAGTGTTATCAACCTGCCCAAACTACATATTTATTCAAATATTTATATCCCACTTTTCCCTGTGACTCAAGGCAGCTTACAAATCATACTGAAAAGCACAATAAAAAGGTAAAGATTTCCCTTTCTTGAAAGCTAGTTGAATCCGACTCTAGGGGACAGTGCTCATCTCTGTTTCCAAGCCGAAGAACCAGCGCTGCCCGAAGACATTTCCGTAGTCATGT